GTATATGGTAGGTACGCCTATAACCAGCTATCGTAGCTCGCGCTGTCCTCGGATTCACGGGTGCTCGAAGAATATTTAATATGATATAAATTGTATCCCACTTGTGTAAATTCTTGCGCGCTGATTGGCTAATAAGAGTGTGTCAATAAGAGGATATGCAACGAAAACCCGGGTGCAATTTGTTTTTTTTAAAACACATTTATGACGTCAAGAGTGTGTAAATAAGAGGACATACAACTCAAAACTATGCGCAATTTGTTAAATATGCATATAATATATGCTATAAAAATCTCGCAGCTCTCAAGAAAACATTGGCGAGAAATTCGATTTGCATTCTAATAACCCGTTCAGTAGAGTTTAATTCCGTGTTGTTCCAGAAGTTGCTTAATTTGCGAAAACCATCTTTTAGCTCATTTGTATTTTGCTGAACTACGTGAATAATATTTTCCATTCTTTTGCCTTGAACTACTATTTAGGACATTTAGCACTAAACAGAATTTTGTCCTAAAGCTTCTGAAACGATGTTTGAAGAACAAACTAATAATGAGACCGACTTACCACCGTAGTCGTCATTCTTCTTGCATAGCATCGACATATCACGTGGACACCACAGAGAACGTAGCCGTAGTGTTCAAACCAGTAGGTTTGTCTGCTGTCAAGCGGTTTTTCAAAGTTTCAAGTTTTAAAAGTGTTTTTTTCTTGAGGAACTTGCYTCGAGAGAATTTTGCCAGACATATTTAATAACGTATTGCACATTGTAAGCAATTAATTAACATTTAAAAAGCACCATTATATTGCGTTTAATTATTCTGCACGATGCTATGCGTTTAACTATTTATTCCTTGGGATTCCTGTGCTATTTCAACAAATCTCCCATCCCCTCCCCCTACATTTAAACTAAAGTGGAGCACAGTCTCTCGCGGTCAATGTGAATTCGCGCGCATTTCCTGTGAAGRAATCTCGAGGTGTCAAGTTCGGCATCATTGTTTTTCTCTGTTTTACTGCTTTCTAAATTACTATAAACCGTGAAATATTGCYTATCGAGACTACACAATGCCTGTATACTTTAATACAGTCGATAATGCGGCCTCGAAACTGCAAAAAATCAAGGAATTCATCGATAGTGGAATGGGCGCCACGTTAGACGTCGCGCTGGACTTAGAGGAGAGAAAGGAAGGCTGTGAAGAAGTTAAAGAACTTAAAGACACCATGCTACAATATGCGCAGATGGAGAGAGATGTAGGGCAGTGGTTGAAAGCGCTTGAGAAGACAAAAGCTGAAGTTAAAGAACGTACTTCTGCCAAGTTAGTAGATCATTACAGGACGKACTTTCGAGAGGGGAAGGGGAGGATTTGGTCTGTGCAAGAATTATTTTAATACCCTAATGAAGCGCTCGAAATTTATATACCATAATTACACAGATTGTACAAGGGCGGATCCATGGAGGGCCAAAGGGGGGCTATAGGTCCACTCTTTTTTATTGTTTTCAATGTTGTTTATAACATATAAAGCCCATTTAGCCCCTCTTAAAACCATGTAGCGCCCCCTTAAAATTATAGCTGGATCTGCCCTTGTTGTAGTTGAGATTTAATTCAGTAACARGCATTATCATGCATTCTGTTGCTGAACACATTGGAAATGTTCTTTCTTCCAGTGACGAAGTTCCTGACATTGAAGCTATCTTTGACAAGCAATTRAAAGCACTTGCTGCATCYAACAAGAACAGTGAACTATTTAGCCATAAAARAGTGAAAGATTTTGACTCCAAAATCTGGAAAGTACATCACGAAGGAAGACCTATGCCAAAAGATGGCGAAGAGGCTGCCGAAGATGAAGATGCCGACTTGATCATGTCMCAGGTAAATTTCAAAATCACAGCTCAAGCAAGATGAAAAATATGGGTCTCGCAGATCATAATCAAAAGTTACCCAGTGTCCAGTGCCATCTTGAAATAAGTATTATTTATTATTATTTTAATTATTATTGAATGTATGTGTGATTTAATATTAGGCTTCTGAACGTACAACCTGTCCAATCACAACCACCGAGATGAAAAAACCCATGAAAAATGTCAAATGTGGCCACAGTTATGAAAAGGAAGCTATCGAGCACAGCCTTCAACTTGCAGCTAAGAAACGCAAGCCTATGAGATGCCCCATTGCTGGCTGCATTCAGCATGTGACRGCTAAAGACTTGGAAGCAAACACTGAACTTGAAAGACTTATTGCCAGGAAGAACAGGGCTCTAACTAAATCATAAGATAGCTTTTAAAATGTCATTATTTCTCGTTGTCAGAAACTATTGATTCTAGGAAATGCCTTGTTGAAGTTTTGCTTAAAATGCATTACCTCAGGGTCATAAGGCAGTTTTCTTCAAGTTTCCCATGGCTACAAATCTATTCCTTGATTTCCAAAATTCAGACAGTTTTAATTTCTGAAACCAAAGAATCCCAGAAAAACAAATGATGTCCTAGTCTAAAGGCTAGACTTCCGATCTGTGAGCTGCCCTAAAAAAGGTATTTTCCAAGGTCTAGATTTTCTCTCTTCCTGCCATATGATAGAGGATATTGCATGCTTGTAAAAAATCCCAGCAATTGAAAACTGAGACTAATGTTTTCCTTGGTTGCAACAATTCTTTATTTATAATTCTCTCAAAATCAAATGGTAAGGCTCGCACACTGTGAAGTACTTGAATTGATACTCTTGTTAGTAATTAATTAACCCACCATATTTTGGTTATTCTAAATTGAAATGTTAATGCCTGCAGCATTTTTTAGTTTAGSTGTTTTATGGGTTAAGTGAAATTACTCTTGTGAATTGAAAGTGATTCTTGTTGRTTTGCTCATTGCATGCTTTGGAAAGGATTTTCCCTGGGAATTCCCTTTTCCTCTTGAGGATGTACAGGATGAAAACAAAATTTTCTATATTAAATTTGGMTCTTACATTAAATATGTAATAATACATGAAGTATTGATAATTAGATAATGTACATTTTCATCAGAAATGTTATGGTTCAAGTTGTAAAAACTACAAGCTAGCAGGCTGTGGTTTGTTATTGAGATTTTATCATAAAATTTACCTTAAATTGAAAGTTTACAATTTTTGTCATCACTACAAATATTACTTTCTAAATCTCCAAAATCTCCCAGGTCAAGGATGATTACATTCCTTTAAACACTCTATATTTCGATTTATGCAAAAAAATACTTTTACTTTCCTACTAACGCCAGCGATGTTTAGTCAGCGGTGATTCCCATTTCGCGCAAGTAGACAATCTGTGATCTGTCACGGATCTGTTTTGGAAAAACAAAACATGAATATCGACGACAATTTTGAGCATGGGTCGTTTATCGTCGCTAAACTGAATCAAATYCAATTCTGTCGACGAGATTAAATGCACAAAGAGAGAAAATACATCCCTGGAGAGCGCTAAATTGCTGACATTCGGAATAATTAGGGATTTTTTGTACAAGAAAAAGTGTTTGCAGTCTGGCACAGTACTCGATGCGGAAAAAAAACATWAACTGACGTACACTCCGTAAATAGACGACCCCTTGAAAGAACATATAAATACGTTTGCTGAATTTGGTGGTTTTTCTGTTTTGAGCTTCGATCAAGTCAAGAGAGAACAAAAATAAAGTGTTGCTTTTGTCCTTTGCGTAACTAACGCGCGGCTGACAGGCACCGATCTACTTCGATTCTTCCTTCAGACAGATGGAATTCAGTACACTTCCACCAAGTTATGATTGCATTCTAGGGATTTATAATGTTCCTTGTTTTGTGTGCTATCTTCATGGGAGTTCCTCCAACGCAGTCATGGTCAGAGACTGCTGCAAGGGGTTTTTATGCGCCGACTGTCTTCGCTGTCACATCGAGACCAAAATAAAGCAAGCCATTGTAAAAATTGTATGCCCTCTGGAGGACTGCGATAGCTTTGTTCCTAATGAAGAGATTAAGGAACTAGCTTGTCCTGAGCTATATTTGAAGTTTGAGCAGTTTCTAGTCGATATTGAACAAAATCCAAACGTCAAAACATGCCCGAATTGYTCGAGGATTTTCACTTTTGAGCCACCGACGACYGAAGAACCTGAAGCGAATAGCAACAAAACGTCGAAGTCTATTGAGMGGAAAAAAATATCTGAAAGAACTAAAGTAACCTGCGATGACTGTCATTTGGTKTGGTGTTTTGAATGTCAGGCTCCTTGGCATTATGGAATGACATGTAAAGACTTTGGAAAGGGGGATAAATCACTAAAAATATGGGCAAAAAATAAAGGACAATTCTTCAGAAATGCAACGAGGTGTCCAAAGTGTCAAATATTTATACAAAAATTCGCTGGCTGTGATCATATGGTTTGCACCAGGTAAGGTTTGGCTTTTTTTGTTCACTTTATTAGTATTTATTTATTTTTCGAATTTTTTCCAATTTCCTGGATTAAAACACTCGACATAAAATATCTGTTTTTATGCCAAAATACGTCTTGCTTGTATTTGCGGCAGACCGCATTAAATTGCTATGTTTTAGGCGAAACCTTGCAGTGGATTTTGTACTTCAAACAGCGTTTTTCGCGATATGCAATTAGGCTTCACATCGTTTCCCGCCGTCCCACTATATGGTCAAACTATTCTTCCATTCAAATCTTTTTAAATATGTAAAATACTATATATTTATTTTTTAAATACTTGATATTTCCCTGACTTACTGAATAAAATATTAAACGATTATCATGTTAAATTTCTTTGTCATTCTATTCTAAAGAAAGCGAAGAATATTAAAATTGAGAGCGTTTCACCTGTTATGGATAATAGCAATTTTTTCTACCTTTTAAATCCCTCCCGAAAATCTTTATTTTTATATCACTCGCTTACATTTTAAAAGTCATTAAAAAGATAAACTTTCGAGACTTTCAATTTTATGCTGATCAAAGTACTTTTATTTATTTCTTGGTGAACGTGTAATTTCCTTACAGAACAAAAGCAAACTATTAATATGCAATTTACTAATAAAGGTGTCATTTCATGTAATCTTCAGTTTTTAATCTTTCATTTCTTATATTATTATATATTTTCAAAGTTTAATTCCCCTAGATTAAATACTTACATTGTAAAAGTTTTTTATAAAATCAAATTTTCTTGTTATATATATTGTCATTATTCAAAACTCTTCCTGTCAGTGTTCTCGCTAATTTACTTAATATATCCTTCAAGGTGTCGTACAGAATTCTGTTATCGCTGTGGCTGCAGATTTCGCAGTATGTACTTCCTGGGCGACCATCACGATCCTCTTAGTGTMTTTGGCTGTAAATATAACTACAAGCCAGGTAGTCCCACACAAAGRGTATTGGTACGTGGAGCAGTTTTGAGTGGAAAACTCCTTGCTTTGCCCTTTGTGGCTGGTCTAGTAGCTAGTGCTGGATGTATTGTCTTGGGAGCTGGYGTGGTAATAGTTCCTGGTTATGTGTCGTACCGAATGATTAAGAAGAAGAAAATTAAGGGGAAATTCAACTGGCAGCTCAATGATAATTCATTATAACATTGACTCAACAAAAAGGMAGAATATCTTTCATGCCATTTCAAATCATGGACAATGTACACTAATGTTTGWAACCTCAAAACATTATATTACAGTATAAAACTATCAGGATGTACAGTATTTTGGTATTAAATATTACCAATTATTAAGCACTCTAGTAAGATGTTAAACTGCTCAATAAAATACATGTTAAAGATTGGGAATAATCACATCTTAAGTCACAGCTTTTTGATTCACAATGTAATGTTTTCTCATTATCAGAAATAAAAGTTTAAGTTTGTAATTCAAGCAAATTGTGGGTACTTTATATGGATGCTTATTAGATAATTTAGGGTCTCACATTTATCACTGCAGTCGCAGCGCATAAAGACCTTATAGTCCAAAATATTTTGGATTTGTGGGTACTTAGGATGCTAAATGAATAAGCTTTACTTATGACATGGCTCAATGGAACTTATTCTTGGCAGTTAAAGGGACACTGTCAATGGCACGCATGCGCGAGTAAACTTGAAAACACTAGGCTAGTGTTTTCAAGTTTATGACTCCAAGTTGGCGCRACATAAATCAGATCGTAAATGTAAACAGATCTAGAATATTCCAAAGTGTGTCAACACAAAATGATTTACCTCGAAGGTTATACTTTCAAAGTCCGTTAGAGGTGAGACTGTTACTGCGCATGTCATCCCTTTAATAAAGTCATTTTAAAGTCGATTGAATTAAATGTTGAGCACCTTTAATGGTGGGTAAATAGTAATCTTCCTCCAAATTTGGTGTCCTCTTGGTCAATCATTTGAATTTTTGTATCGTTTTTGCTAAAAGTTGGTGAGAACACTTCTAATATTCTAGGCATTTTTTAAGCAATCATGGTTTATGTTCAACTGGCTGTGACTCATGTTGTGTTATATAGAGGATATTACATGGTTGCGTGGAGATACGGATTTTGTCTTTGAGTGTTGAGAGATTTTCAACACGAGAAGATATAAAAATCCGTATCTCTAAGCGACCATGTAATATTCTGTTTATCATATGATATGATTACATAATGAAAGCGAATTATTTTGTAAAATACTTTTTTTTTCTTACTTCCACTATATAGAGAAAACTTGAATGTGTTTATATTTTCACAATTTTATAAAATGGAGAAATATAAGTATTTCGTAGATAATTATATGAAAAAATATAATATTCAAGCTCTCTAAACAAATTCACTTGAGAATGATGCCAGTGACATCAAAACGCTGTAATAAAAAGTAAATGCTTTGGTCTCAATCTAAATAATTATTTATATCAAGATGGTAATTCTAATGTGCAACCAGCAAGACAGTATTGACAAGATTAGGCAAACACTGAATATCAAAATACATKTAAAGTCTACAGGGATATCAGTTCTCATATGGATAATCTTATGATTATACAGAATAATTTCTTTCTTTATCAATCTGATTCCAGAATTAAAACAGGATTACATTGAAGAGTGACTTTCAAATTTGTCAACAAAATTTCCTGTKTAATCAAAAAGAACAGAATCTTTTGAAGAGCTGATTATTTGTGAAAGGCTTGAAATTGGGGCTTATCAACACTGCAGCCTCAAGATTCAAGTTGACAATGAGGCAATTGAAGACTGAAATCAATAGCAAACTGTTCTACTTGTCAAGCCTTAATATGCACATTTAAGAGTTTGGAGGACATTACATGGGTGTGTAGAGATACAGATTTTATCATTTGAGTGTCAAAAAATCACTGTGAGCTTAGCAAGATTATACTTATCAATAAGCCTTTAAGCTACAAACTTTGCAGTCATTTTGAATTTCAACCATATGCTAGTAGGTTAAATTTTGTAAACAGAGATCCACACATTATACAATGATCTTAGAAGAACAGGTTTTCTTGACTCATGAGAAGTAATATTATTCCCAAAGGTACTCTTTTGGTTTAGCTTAAAAACATGAATTTTGATACATAAATTTGCATTGTAACATCATATATACACATAGACTTAACAGGGAACAATATTGAAGATATAAAACTTGCGACACAAACGGCAAGCTAAAGGAGTTCAAATAGAGTCCAATATTTGAGTTCTAAATATAAGTATTTTTAACTGTGGCAATATTCAGCGAGATCAGGTCTGAAAAACATTGAATTCAATCTGTGACAGACACTGTTGAATATTTTATTATTAAGTAAAATTCAATTTTTATTTAATTTAGAGCAAATGTATTTTAACTGTGAAACAAAATATAATTATTGCTTATTATATATACACCTACTTGCGAAAAYRTTGTCATAAAAAATAGGGTATTTGTATTTTAGTAAAAAGGAATAAATTAAAAACACAAAGGAAGATCACCGAGGCTGAACGCTTTCTTTTGTCTTGTTTTAATTTATTCCTTTTAACTAAATATGAATGTTCTATTTTCTATGACAACGTTTCTGCAAGTAGGTGTATACATAATTTTTTATATTTTACAGTTAGAGTGATTTTCGTTTGAAAGTGAACAAAAATGGAGCTGTTTTCATTTGACCGTGACTGTTAATTTAGTTACAAATGTATTCAGTTCAATCTATTCAGTTTTCTTTTGTTTTTTTTTTGCCAACATTTACTAACTTAATAGTTATTTTCATTGCATGGTCAAATAAAAATGACTTTTACCAGGAATATCATAAGGCTTTAGTTTGTATAGAGTGAAGTCAATGAACCCGTGAAATACATATTTGACTATTACATGTTATTACTCGATAATTCCATTGTTTTCTTTTGTGTCTATTTGACTATTACAGTTTAATTATTAACTTTTATTTCACAGGATCAATGCCTTCACTCTAGTTAGATGTAGTAATAACTTTCCCTAGTAATTAGAACGATTTCACATAACTGGATAAAAAATGCTAATGAGGATCAATTTATGCTAAAAATACACATTACACGATGAGAAAAGCTTGTATCAAATTGCTGTCCATGTTTGCAAAAACTAGATACAAAAATGTTTTGATTTTTTCGCTTACGAAGTGTTTTTCCTTAGTGTGCACGTTGGAATGCTTGTAAAAGCAAACAAATGTTTTATTTGTGCAATTTTTGCTGCTTTTGTTGTCGTTTTAGACATGTTACAGATAAACAGAATTAACGTCAACAAATCTGTACGTCAAATAAGTAAAGCGTTCATCAATATCCTTGTTTTTTCGCCGTTTAATATTGTGTAATGTGTATTAGCATAAATTGATTCTCACTAGGATTTTTTATCCGCTTATGTGAAATCGTTCTATTATGCTTTGTTCATGGTTGACTGAAAATCACTCTGGTGTACAATTATATAATTTATTAGAATCATTTAAAATTACTTTTTACATGGACAACACCTGGACACAGCCAAGAAAAATTAAAAAGCTTTTAGAATCTTTTTTTAAGCTTTAGGCCTTTTGTCCAACAGAATATGGTGGGAWTTTTACTCAACACTTAACCTTACTGAGCTGGTTGAACTTTAAGTAATGTTTTGGCTCCATGCATGTTGAAAATGTCCTCCAAGCAGCATTTTTCTTTTAACTTTGTTGAAAAGAGAGAACAAAACAGCTTGCTAACTAAGGCAGTTGTTCCTTCTTTCTTACTTTTAAAGGTGTTAAAAAAACTCCACTTCTAGTAGATGAGTTGAGAACTGTTTTTAATAATATTTACACRTCTCATTGCTGTTGTTGCTGTGTCTTTATAGATTTCTTGTCTACRACAATAGTCCCTGCTATTATGTCATAGATTGTCCGGTTGTTATTGAAGAAGAATATTGTAAGAAACACAGGAAACAAAAAGGTCATTGAGAAATTCTTGACCAGTGCTCGAACCCCAGCTCTGAAAACAAAAGAACTCCTCATGAACATAAAGKTAGGATGTTACACTTGAAGAAAAASAAASCATMTYAAATGTGATACTCTAGGTAATATCAATGATCTAGCAGTTGAAAGGTTTCCAGGCAATGCACTTTTTGTCACTCAATGAATGAATATCTAGTGCCTTATTCACGATAGCGCCTTTGATAGCTTTTATATTGTAAAAAATTAATGCAAATTAGCCATGCCGTCTTCTAGTGACTACCTTGACTAAATAAACTATGAATAAATAAATGAATGACTGAATAAATGACAAGATAGATGATTGAATAAATGAACAAAATGCAAACAAATGAAACAAATTATGAATAAAGAAATGAACAAAAGGAGAAGGAATACAAATCATAAAAAATGAACAAATGGATGAATAAATGAATGATTAAAAWATAAGAATAAATATAAGTACTAAAYKGTYAGACAAAACTTATCAATAATTCATTACCTCCACCAACCAGGATTTTCAGCTGGTGAGATCCTAACTTTTTCTCCATCTATAACGTTATTCTCAATGGTATCCACTCTGTCAACTGCCAGTACAGACAGACCAACTATATGTTTACCAGGCGTGGATCCTCCTAGCTCTCCATAGAAACCGCCAACTAGAAAGAATGTCTATGGAACAAAAAAGAAAATAAGTTACACCATTTGTGTAAAAAGATAAATTTAACACGGTAAAAAAGGAGGTAGTTTAACCGGAGGATTAACGTCCACAACGTCAGTAATTTGTTTCCCTATTTTATTTTTTACAGTGTTAAATTTATCTTTTTACATATTATTGTTTCTTTCGAAACACCGACGCAGCTCACACTAGTTTAACACTAGTTTCACCATTTTAACTAAGTTAGAGCGGATTTTGTATGAGTGGGAAACGGACGGTACTGWATTGTGACCGTAATCGTACTGTAACCAAATTCTAGTGCCCCATTGGTTCACCAAAATTGTGCAGGCCAGGTCCGGTAACTGTGTGGTAACCGTGCGGTAACCGTGTCCCACTCATACGAAATCCGCTCTATATGTCATTGTTTTACCATGGTGGAGAGGAATCATTAGCAATTTATATTATACCCCCTCTCCCCTGCACTCCCTGTACTAATAATGATAGGATAAGKTTTGATCCAGCAGATAAATACAAAATACAAAATTTAGGATTCTAGCATTATGGTTGAAATTCAAAATGACTGCAAAGTTTCCAGCTTGAAGGCTTATTGAAATGTATTTAATCTTGCTAAGCTTGGAGTGATGTTTCAGACACTTTGATGATAAAATCTKTATCTCCACACGCCCATGTAATATTCTCCAAAACTCTGAATATGTGCGAATTTTATTTAGGTTTAAAAATAGAACATTTTGCTATTGATTCAAGTCTTCAATTGCCTCGTTGTCAACTCATAATCAAGGATAAGTTTTGCTTAAGCAGATAAATAGGACTGATAGMACAAATATTATATGTACCAAATAAGTATTTTTTTTAACTGAGAATGCTTGATAAACATTTGAAAAATGTCAATAATACAATGAATAAATCAGGACAGCTTACTGTGCACTTTCAATATTAGCAATCTCAATGACTTTATTATCACTTCAAAACATGTGACTTCTGTCAATCAAAACTCAGATGTAAACAGAGGATAACATCTCACCTCATATCCAAACACCATGAATCTGTACACTAAAGCTTGTATAAGTATTTCCTCCAAGTCTTTAAGGTTGGTGTTCTCGTCAATTATTAGAGAATACTGTAATTGTGTGTATTTGTCGATACTATTACTGTATATAGAGAAAAAAGAAGAATCAAAATTAGCTGTATCACAGATATAAAGATTTATCGGATAAGRGCAAGTATGATATGAGCAATTAWTGGATGGATGTGTTTATGATATGGACATTTAGTGCAAAGGCAAGTATGTACATTGAACAGTTAAAAAGGATGAAGRTATCATATATTTAAAGTTATTGGATGGTGGTAAGTATGATATGAACATTATTGGATGGGAGTGARCATGATATGAAGAGTAACACAGGCCATGGTGGCTGATCATTATCTGGTAGAGATACCATGAGATGTGCAGAAGACTCAAAAAGTCAAACAAGGAATACAAAACCAGGAATACAACAGATTCTGTTACCAAMTGAACAGCATATTAAATTCACTTACTAAAATATTGCAAACATCAGGAATTTAGTGAAATAGAGGAAGAAGAAATCTATCAATTCAGCAAAAACTCTTTTCTGTATGGAGCTTACTCTGGCATCACAAGCTATGATGGGATTTAATAAAACAACTTATTATGTTACTAAGGGAGTGGTAATTTCTGACCAATCAGAGTGTGTGCAAGATTGAATTGTATTGTGTGTGGATTCTTTAATAACACATGGTTCCAAGAGCCAATCAAAGAGCGTGTAATATACCAGGGGGTGAAGGAATTGGGGGGACTTGGGGCGCTCTAGCACCCAACAGTGTTTTCGAAAGGAGCAACTTTAGAATACCCTGACAGTTTCTGGCTCAGTATAAATTTGCATACCAGCTTTTTTAAGAATGACATAGATTAATAAAAAAGGATTTCTTGACCACAATATTTATTAATCTCCCTGATGTCATTCTTAATTGCATAAACTAGGCTTTGTAGTCAAACCGACGTTTTCTTACCTTCAAATCGAATTGGTTGGACTTGAACATTCCGTGCTTGTCTTTGAGTTRAGCCTTCATCTACTTGTGTAACTAAACTAGGATCATACTGGTAACCTTGAGAAGCCATGAAATGCCAATAGTAATATGCATTCATGTAGCATTGTTGGTAGTAAGATTGMGCGTTGTACCAGTACGAGTAAGCATTCCAGTTTTCAAGCGAATTGTCACCAATCGTTTGATTAAAATTTGGATTTGTAGAATAACTAGTMGCATTTGTATTTGTTTGTTGGGTATTTGTTTCGGTATTACTTGTTTTTACGTTGGTATTTTCGTTTTCTTTTTCTGTGTTTTCATTCTTTCTTTCTCGCAAGTCAGCCATTTTGGCTAAACAACACTTGTTCTCAGTCTCACTCCGTCTACTTAAAACTCGCAAAGGATTATGGACGAGAGGAATGTCAAAGAATCCGAAAACAATGAAATAATGAAATCGAAAAAAAAAAAAGAATTGAAGTAACAGCAGGGACAACTTCAGTATACCAGAGAGAAGAAAGAAATGAATGACCAAAGGCAAGAAATCAGCACAGAAAGCCTTATTTATTTTTTTAAGATTTTATAATTTTTTACATTTTATTTCAAACGTGAACAATAAAATGTTCTCATAAATACAACATGTATACTAAWACATAGCAATATAAAATTACGGACGCCGGTTTATTCAGATCCATCGAGTTCATCAGGAGGAGAGTGATGTGAATGACTTTTTTCTTTTACATTATGTATTCGAACCAATCCCGATGTCCCACCAGACGCGATCCAAGTCCTGGCTTGCTTATTTGGATTCCATCGAACCTGCGAAAAAAACAGTGTCCCTTTTACTACAACTGGAGCAACAAACTATCATACTTTTATGGGCCATGGTCAACTCCTTTTCGATAAATGAAAAGTATAAAATAAGACCGCATTGAATGCCGATTGAACATGGCCCTTTGACAAAACGTTAATTTTTAACTTTGTGCTTTTACGCTCACTTGGAAATGTTCTTCATATAAATACTTACCTTGTTGATAGACTGTAATGTAGAGGTATTTGCGCTATAGCTTGATGGYGCTTCTTGAATTTCCTTCCTACTTGTGAGAACATCGTTATGGAACTGTAACTGAAACAAATTCAGACAAGTGTTAGTTCGGTTTGGTTTAAATGCAGAGCTCAACATTGCCCATTGGGTGCACTACAGGAATAGTCTTCTTCGTGGTTCCCTGAGCCATCTTGAAAGGTAGCCGTGCCTCAGTTTGCATCGAAGCGAGATGACCGTTGAGCTTGCAATGATAGAAACCTTCTTTCACACGTACAGACAACATTATTCACAGGTATYTATCATTGCACACTCAATGGTTGTCTCGCTTTGATGTAAAGKCACGGTTATCTGCGCCATCTTGAAGCGAGACACYCGTCGACGGCGCAGGTAACCGTGAAGGAGACTATTGCCAATTATCAAGCAAGGGACCATGTAAACTATTGATGTGTAAGCTTCTAATCCAATGTAACCATTCTTGACATCGAAAAACGATAATTTGGCAAAGATGCATCCACCATCTTGATACTTTCAACAATACCATGATGCATTTCGCCATGACAAACATGACGTCACAAGGGGAAAATCCCACTGAAACACTATCTTTCAATTTTTGCGTATTTGATACTTACAGAGTTGATATCCCTGAAAACAAGTCGCGAACAACGTATGGTTTGTTGTATACTTGGACATTCTTGTTTGAAYTTGTTGGGGCTTTTTTTCTGATTGCTTTCGGTGTTGACATTCGAGTTACGGTCCTCTAAGTGCACTTTATAAAGAGGCTAAAAATATAGAAACAAACAAATGAATTAGTAGAAAAGTGAACGAAGTAACAAAAGAAGGTAGGAGGGAAGGAAAGAACGCACGCACGCACGCACGCAACGCACGCACGGACGCACGCACGGACGCACTAACGAACGAACGAACGAATAAAAGGTTAAGGAATAAAGTCACGTGAACAGGTAATAATTACCCATTTCGTCGAGGAACACTTCATCGTATCTTTAGACACGTAAACATCTCCAGCCACATCCGAACTTGCCGCCAAATGAAGCCACAAGTTGAACGACAAAGACTGCACAAAGTATGATCACTTACATTAATAACATTTATAATATAGATGTAATAGTACGAGCGCTCTGATTGGTCCAAGAGTGTGATTTAATTCACGGTAAATGCACGCTCGCGAGCATAACTAACTTTCTATATCATAAAAGCAATAAAGGATGGATTGCCGTGTGTTTCTCGGTGAAATAAAGCGCTTGGATGATGGAAAAACACTCAAAACATAAAATTCCCCTCTATTAACTATGCTCAAAAACGCGCTCGCGCTTTTTTTGGTTCTCTCATCATCGAATAGACGTCAAATAGAGGTTGACTAGAGGTCAAATAGTGACCTCTATATAATAGTTTAGGAGAGGACCCGACTCAATAAAGGTGCCAGGTGTTTGCACTTAAACTTACCCAGATTGCACTACCATGTGGGCACACAACGCGCATATAATCAACTGTGGTAATGTCACAGTGTTTTAGAGCTGGATGGTTGTTGTTGAAGAGATCCTGTTCGCAGCAAAGGAACCCATTGGTATGCAAAGGCCACTCGATTTCACAAGGGAGTCCTGTGGTATTCAGTTTGTGTTCAGAATTATAAAGTTGCTGTTAAGTTGAAGAACAAATTAAAACTGGACAAAACCAAGCAAAACCGAACAAAACCAAGCAAAACCGAACAAAACCAAGCAAAACCGAACAAAACCAAGCAAAACCGAACAAAACCAAGCAAAACCGAACAAAACCAAGCAGAGCAGAGCAGAGCAGAGCAGAGCAGAGCAGAGCAGAGCAGAGCAGAGCAGAGCAGAGCAGAGCAGAGCAGAGCAGAGCAGAGCAGAGCAGAGCAGAGCAGAGCAGAGCAGAGCAGAGCAGAGCAGAGCAGAGCAGAGCAGAGCAGAGC